TCAACCACACCCAACTTGCCAGCGGAGTCCTTTTTGGAGAAGATTACGACCTTCAATGACTCCTTGCCACACCCATGAAGGGCGAGTACTCATCGAGGCATTGAGGAAATCACAATGGGGATGGTAACGAGCCTTGTACATCCGGGCTAGAGTTGAATTGGGAGATTGAAGAACCTTCCATGCCTGTTTAGCGAACACTGATATATTGAATAGATCAAAATCTCTAAATCCTAGCCCATCACGAAATTTACTCACACGGAGGGCCGACGAGGATATCCAATGCATCCCTTTATCCTTATCTTGACCAGCCCACTAAAACCTTGAGAGCTGGCCATTCATTCGACGGTAGGATGTAGATGATAATCTGAAAGATAGCATTGCATACACTGGAGTTGCAGAGCCTACAACTTTGATGACCACCTCTTTGGCTGCCAACGAGAGGGCCTTTGATTTCCAGTTCTAATGCGACGAGCAAGAGCATCTTCAATGAATAAGAAGGTCTGTACTTTGGATCTCTGATTCGGGCAGGCAGACCTAGGTATTTGTAAAGCTCTCCTATTGAATCCACTCCCAAGATAGCTACCAAGTCGAGTGCTTCCAGAGCTAAGACATTGTAGCTGAAGCAGACTTTAGATTTCTGCAGGTTTATTTTTTGGCCACTTGCAGTCTCATATAAGGAGAGGAGTTGCACAAGTTGGGAGCATTCATTTGAGGAAGCTCGCAAAAACATATAGTTATAATCAGCAAATAACAAATGAGAGGTAAGAGGAGCAAGGAGATGAATTTTCAGTCCATGTAATTGACCCGAGGAATTTTCAGTCCATGAATTTTCAGTTCATTCTTAATACGGTTCAAAGCATCTTATGCTAAAACATCCATTAATCCATAAGATGGAATACAATGTAATCCAAATCATTATTATCTTAATATAATACATCTACTAAGTAATAACTAACTAACATTATCGTGTTAATGCGAGGGGAAAAATGAAAGAGTGAAGGGAGAGTTGAGAAAAATGAATTAAGTTTTGATTTGGGTGGCCACCCAATTACATTTATACTAATTATTTTCTTAAGTTACCCTCACTATTATTGATTGGTTACAATTTAATCATTGAATTTTTTATATGCAAAAAAGTGTTCTTGATGGGGCGGGTATGGGTATGGGTATGGGACGGGGAGGCTAAAATCATACTCGCCACATACCCATCAAACATTTTGCGGGTTTTACCCATACCAGGTCAAAGCAGGGATTCCCCGCGTTGACTGGGTCGGGGGCGGTCGGATACCCGCGGTCATGGGTTTGACTGTCATCCCTAATCATAAGCTTTTTCCATATCCAGCTTCAATGCCATCCATTTTTCCCTTCCTTGAGTTTTTGTTTTCAGGAAATGCATAACCTCTTGAGCGATAAGAACGTTGTCCGATATGTCCTGGCCTTTGACAAAACCATTCTGAGATTCACTAACCACTGAAGGAAGAACTTGACTCAAATGAGAAGATAAGACCTTAGAGATTATCTTATAAAAGACTTGGAAAAGTCATATTGGCCTCATCTACTTCATCAATTCTTCATTGGGACCTTAGGAATCAAGGTAATCAACGTATGATTGAAGTTATGTAAAAGCCTACCCGACCTGAAAAAGGATGAAGCAGCCACACAAACTGAGTTTCCAATGATGTCCAATAAGCCTGATAAAACGCAGCAGTTAAACCATCCGAGCCCGGGGCTTGAGTTGCTCCAATATTGAAGGCAACCTATTTAATCTTCTCTCTGGAAACTGGGGATGTGAGGAAGTTGTTTTGTTCAAAGCTAACATTCCTGGGAGACCAAGGGCTGTCGCTAGGAAATGGAATGAGTTGCCATTAGAGGAAAATAGAAGCTGGAAATAGCCAACTGAAACAGTGTCTTTAGCAGCGTCCTCAATATGAATCATTCCTTAATCATCTCGAATTAGTTCAATAGTGTTTTGCCTCCGTCTCCGAGCGGCCGTTCGGTGGAAGTAATTGGTATAAGCATCCCCTTCTTGCAACAAGCTATTTCTGGACTTTTGCTTCCAATATACCTCTTCTTGCTGGTATGCAGTAGCTAGTTGGGATTCCAGCCCTTGAATGGTAGCCCAATCAATTGGAACTTGATCCCATTCAGTCTCAATGGCCAGTCAGAGTTCTCTAATTTGTCTTGCTAAATTTTAAGTACCTAGTCGCGCCCAGTCAACAAGATGGTGAGGCGTTGCCTTCAGTATAGAAAATAGTTGAAACTGTGGCGTACCAACTACCACAGTTTGTCATTTCCGCAGGACAATGGCTCTCACATCATTGTTGGAGCACCACCGCTTATCGAATTGAAATCTTGGTTTTCCTTTACCTGAGCCAGGCACCAGCTGCAAGAGTATCATCCGGTGGTCAGAACCAAGAACTGAAAGGTGGGAAACCTGCACATTTGACCAAGCTTCTAACATTAGTTCAGAGGCTAAACCACATAGAATGTATGGAAATCTCCAACACAGAGAATGTAGGGGGGCGGCCACCCTGTTTCTCCGAAGCAAAAAGTATGCAATTAAAGTCCCCAAGAACAAGAACAAGGAGATCACACGACGAAATCAAATTTACGAGTGCATTAAACTGCGAACAACTGATATGTACATCATAGCTTAACTGGACAAAGAAAATAGCAACATGACCCCACACTATGTGTTGAACCTCAACAAACAAGAAGAATTTAGCTTCACCTAGCACACGACATTGGACTTTTGGGGAACAAGCAACTACAAGGCCCCCGACCCTCCCAATAGGAGATACACAACGAACTACTACATACCCTAGTCGACACAATTTATTATTCACATAATCATCATGTTTAGTTTCACTTAGACAAATCATGGATGGATAAAATCAGCAAATCGCTCCAAAGAGGGTTGGAATTGTCAGGGGGAGCCTAGTCCCCGAAAATTCCAGGCGAGAATGTTCATTTCGGGGGGATGAGACCAGTCAGGGTTGGTTGCCACCCCCACATTTGCATTATCATGTCCCGCCGAGTGCGGATTCACCTCCAGCTTTTGCTTTTTTGGGTCTAGACTGTCAGCCATCAAGTCCATCATTTCGATCCTACCACGAGCGAGGTTCAGCTTAGCAGCATCCCCATCCTCGGGAGAGTTCCTAGAACACAACATCAAACTACCATGATTGCGGCAGTACCCGACATAGGACTTTTCCTTGTAGTATCTGCAGAAGATGATGTTGCTCTCGAAGCGGCCACCAGGAGGAGAGCGAGGAGAGCCCCCTTCTATGTTGGGGAGATGGCTGGTCCTTCACTTGTCGTACCCAAGTAAGGCTTCTCCGCTCAAGAAAATTCCTTTCATTGACTTTGGGGCCAGACTTGTTGGAGACTAGGTGACGGTTGTAAGGGGTAACCGTGCCTGCCAGCTCTTCTCGACGGAAACACTGCTATCCAATGTGACCAAGAATCCCGCTTAAGTAGCATAATTGGGAGAGTTTTTCGTATTTCATAGCGGCGGTGAACTCTCCTTTCCCTACCTTCTCATGAGAAGCCGAGACTGAAACAGGAAGGGGGAAGCGTGAGTCAATCCAAACCCTAGCACGCAGCTTGATCTCCGCCGTCCCATCAGCACGGTTAACCGTCGCAAGGTATGTCTTCCCCAAGAACCCCCCAAGAAGAGTTCCCACCCGCCTCGAACAACAACCAGTGGGAACTCCCCTGAATTGGAGGGTGAGGGGGACTCACCACATATGCTCTGCAATTTTCGGAGAAACCGTCACCCAGGAAGCCAAGTTCACCAAGTACTTAGGCAGAACCCAAGGCGTCATCCGGAGGACCTGATTCATATCCTCTTCATTGGGGAAGACAACCTGTAACAGCCCTTCATCCGCCGGGAGGAGAGAGATCAGTCCAGTAAAGTTCTAAAGTCTCCCCAAGGTGCTTTGGAGATGGCGAATGGGGGGCGACGGACCAACGATTTTCTACAACAGAGAAAGTTCGTTACACTCAGCGCCAGGAGCGACATCGGCATCTCCAAACACCACCACATTTTCAGCAGCCATAGCGATTGCAGTTGAGGAGCACAGAGACTCACTTTTGCAAAATCGGGAGCAAGGAGACAAAGGATGGAGAATCAAGAGTTAGGGAGGCTCAGGCCACAGTGAGGGCTTTAAAAGCCCCATGGAATCGAAGGCCATTTTCGGCGACGCACTATGGTGGAGTGGCCGGTTACGCCTTGTCGCACTACAGCGATGTCCTCGCTCCCACTACCCACGACATAGTAGAACTTGGGATTTTTTAGGTTGGTCGTTGGGCTTCCAAGGCTATTAATATTGTGATAACACTTCGGCAATTCGTATTGTAGAAAATCCAGTTGCACATGAAAGAACGAAGCACATATAGATCAATTGTCTCCTAATCCGAGAGAAAATAGCTCACAAGCTGTTCAAAGTCTTCCATATCAGTACTGAAAACCAAATCCCAGACATACTGACCAAATCCCTATCAATAAATAGGTTCTAGGAGCTTAATGTCAAGTTGGGCATGTGTAACATGGGTAGTTAATTTAATTTGTAGTGTTGGTACTGTAGTGATAATTTGGTCAGATGTATAAAAGACAACTTCCAGTGTACAGATTTCACTTAACACATTTATGACAAAATACAGATGAATTTTCTCTTCCGCAATCTCTGAATCTGGCACTTAATCCCGTAATCACCGCTCTAAAATAGTCCATGTCTTTGTTCATCCATTTTTGGTTTTAGAGTTTTCGCAGAAGCAAAAGCAAGTTCTAGCAAGGCAGTTAATCTGCAACCGAGTCAGGTTGAATTACGATTCCAGAACAAGAGGGTCAGGTATATATTCCAATTAACCATAGTCGTCAGGGAAGGAAGAGTAGTTTATAAGTTCCGGCGAGTGAAATATGGTTCGTTTAGTTTAATTCGTTTGGTTCAGATGGAATTTTTATTAATATTTTTAGTGGCATGGATGGCTGATTAGGCCAAGTTAATATAAGTTAAATTTTGAATGCAAATGACCAGAATGATCATTTTGTTATTCGTTCATACATGTTTTACCGAAACATACAAAACTAAAATTTAATAACGGTTTTATAACAAGTGGTAAGTTGCCTGACGGTTTATGATAATATCCCATAATTCCCAACTAGCAGTGTAGCACCGGGAGAAAATGTGGGAGAGGAATGAAGGATTGTGTTTCTCAGTGGCTTCCTTCACTAATTTCTGGAGGAACCGGGATGGAGAAGAAGGAAACACGACGGTCGGCAATCAGATCAAAGGCCAGATCTGAGGAGCCCTTCTAGTGTGCTCTATAGCACCCATGCTATAAAAAACAAAACAAAAAGGTGACCTGTTGAGGAGGTAACCCACTAAATGACTGGTCCCACATCATTAATGGCAATCTTGTAAATAATGAATCAATGTATACAAGTGTAGGTACAAATTAGAGTTGTACCATATAGTATAGGTACAAGTTTCAGCTGTACCATTGAAGAATTTGTTTCACAAAGTGTAGGTACAACTTAAAGTTGTACCATTAGTATAGGTACAATTTTTAGTTGTACCATAAAGGGATTTGTTAGAAAGTGTAGGTACAACTTAAAGTTGTACCATGGTATAGGTACAAGTTCGGGTTGTACCATAAAAGAATTTTGAGAAAGTGTAGGTACAACTTAAGGTTGTACCATTAGTATAGGTACAATTTTTAGTTGTACCATAAAGGGATTTGTTAGAAAGTGTAGGTACAACTTAAAGTTGTACCATGGTATAGGTACAAGTTCGGGTTGTACCATAAAAGAATTTTGAGAAAGTGTAGGTACAACTTAAGGTTGTACCATTAGTATAGGTACAATTTTTAGTTGTACCATAAGGGATTTGTTAGAAAGTGTAGGTACAACTTAAAGTTGTACCATGGTATAGGTACAAGTTTGGGTGTACCATAGAAGGATTTTTAGGAAGTGTAGGTACAACTTAAAGTTGTACCATGGTATAGGTACAAGTTTAGGTTGTACCATAGAAGGATTTTGAGAAAGTGTAGGTACAACTTAAGGTTGTACCATTAGTATAGGTACAATTTTGAGTTGTACCATAAAGAGATTTATTAGAAAGTGTAGGTACAATTTAAAGTTGTACCATTAGTATAGGTACAATTTTGAGTTGTACCATAAAAGGATTTGTTAGAAAGTGTAGGTACAACTTAAAGTTGTACCATTGTATAGGTACAAGTTTGGGTTGTACCATAAAAGAATTTTGAGAAAGTGTAGGTACAACTTAAGGTTGTACCATTAGTATAGGTACAATTTTTAGTTGTACCATAAAGGGATTTGTTAGAAAGTGTAGGTACAACTTAATGTTGTACCATGGTATAGGTACAAGTTTGAGTTGTACCATAGAAGGATTTGGAGAAAGTGTAGGTACAACTAAAAGTTGTACCATTAGTATAGGTACAATTTTGGGAAATGGAAAATTAAAATGCAAGTTAAAATGCAAGTTAATAATTATTCCAAATTAATAATTATTCCCCCTCTAATTAGTTCCAAAAAAAAAAAGGGAAATGGAAAATTTCAGTCTTGGAACCCAGTTTTCTCCCAAATTGCATTCCGGACCCTACTCAGATCCCTCCCTTTCAAATTCCTCCCCACGCCTTCGTGGACGGAGAAGGACGCGATCCTCGTCCTCGCCATCTGCCTCGCCAGGCCAGGAACTCGTGCGGCGGCACCCGCACCCCGCCGTTGCCGTAATCGTCCCCGCCGCCGTCCAATTCCTCGTCCTCGTCGTCGAAGGGATCCCTGCTGCGGCGGTTCTCGCGGTACTCCTCCTTCAGGATCTTCGACCAGTCCGGTATGTTGACCGGCAGCGACGACGCGGCGGACTATGCCGCCGCCGCCGTTGACTTCTTGTTGATCCTGGACCCGACCTTCCGGAACTCCGGCGAGTCAGGGAGGTGGCTGTGGCGGTCGTAGACGTCGGACTCGTCGAGTTCTATGTCGTGGTGGTGGTGGCTGTGGAGGTGGTGGGGGTGGTGGTTCTGATCGAGGAATCAGTAGTTCTGCCTGGCTAAGTAACTCTTACTGGCAGCCATTGAAATCGGAAAGTAGAAGAAGGAGATTGAGAAGCTGATAAGATCACACACAGAGTCTCCGGATTGAAAGTTTCAATTCGTTCTAATTTTAGGGATTTAGTTTCAATTCGTTCTAATTTTCGGCGATCCGAGATGTTGGAGCTTTCCACGTCGGCCGGCGGGCGGAAATCGAGGGGGGAGTTGGGGATCGAAGTGCCGGGGAGGAATTTCGGGGAAGAGCCGTCGTCGTCGGCGGTGACGGAGTCTCAGGCGAGTCAGGGGTTCAGGTCGCCGATGAGCCGGATGCTTTCGTTTAATTGGTGAGAAGACAACCGGTTGTACCGGTTATCCACACACAACTAAAATAATATATTAATAATTTAAATATAATCTAATGGTTTATATAGTTTGAACATGATCTAATGGCTGTAAATGTTTTATAGTACCAATACTATAAAGCACACTAAAATGCCTCCAGATCTGAGACCCCAATCAGATGATTGGATCTTAGGCGGCGGCGCACTAATGCACTAGAACCGCAAGCAGCAACACAGCTATGGCCATCAGCGGGGTAGCAGAGGAGACGGAAGACAGCGTTGAACGGCGACGAAGACTCCGTCGAATCGGGCGGCGAAGTTTCCGGAAGGAGTGACATCACTATCCGGCGACAGGCGAACCGGCGGGGGCAGTGTGAGGAGCCTGGGGAGAAGCACCAAAAGGTGTGCTCTTCATCCGTAAATGGATATTTTCTAGCTCTCTCCCAATCTCAACTATTAGCTCCACAAATTAGGTAAACTCTCTCCCTTCTGCTAAGCGGCGGAGAAGGATTGTGAATTTGGGATGATGTGGACGGTGGTGGCGCCGGCGGCAGCTGGTGGGTGGGAGGTGGGATTTCCTTTCTGGGCCTGCTTTTATTTATTCTGCAATAATGTCATCCCCTATAAAGTTACGCCATCCATGATCTCACCATGGCTAGAACTAGAATAAGAAAATGGCCAGATGACCATTTCATGGGGTATGAATCGTTGTCATGAACAAGTTAATAAGTAATGTAAGAAACTGTGGTGGTGCTGTTGTCATTTTCAGTTGAGCTTTCTCCATTGTCATATTCACATATATGTATATTATGTATTCCAGTTCCGGCCTTGAGCTACATATTCCATTCACAAATGACCTGGTCCATCCCAACCCCGGGCCTCAGTTGAAGTTGAAAATCAAAGGTGCCTCTGCCTCACTCTCCCTTCCTCCAAGCTTCCCTTGTCTCAATCCATCCTTACCATCTATTAGTAGTCAATTCTCTGCTCCTTATTCTTTTTTTTCTTCTCCCACCTCATTCCTAGCTTGCATTGGATTCTCCTTCCTCTTTTGTCTTTCTTCGTCCCACCCAGAAGCTCACTTTGCTAATCTTGGTTGTTTCTCCATAAGTTAAACCGCACCTCATCATCTCTCTATTCTAGTGTGGCTTCAGCTTCGGCAGTAGCAAGAGATCCAAGAATATTCAACCATGAGGATGGGGAAGACTTCACACAGAGGACCCGAGGTAAGCAAGCTAGCTAGCAACTCACTCCCATTTCCCACACAGCTTGTTTTCTTCTTCTTCTGCAAACAAGCAAATCGGTGTGTTTCTGAATTGTTGGGCATGGATGATATTCAGGTGAAAGCAGAAGGTCAACGCAAGAAGTCCCTCTTTGCTTCCATAGCCAAACCTTCATCAACAGAGACCAACAGACCTAACAGTATGGTGATCAAGGTAAAATACCTGAAAAGACCAAACCTTTTTTCTTTATATGCTAACTTGGGTCCATGATGATCTGACTAGAATTTGAATTTCCCCTTCAATTCTCCAGAAGGCACACACTGTAATCCCTGCAGAGATCGTGGCGGAAGCCATTTCCACTCTCCGTGGGCTTGATCTCCGGTGGTCGGGACCAATAACTCCCTCGGAGATGCAATACGTTGAGCAGTATGTCTTGGCCAAGTACCCTCAATATGCCGGCCTTGTCGGGGAGAAGATCGATCTCTCCACCCTCTGCATCATCGGAGAAGATCCTGCTGCTGCTGACAAAGAAGAACGCAGAAAATCCTCTCCCCGGGGAAGTTTCAGGGATGCCTCATCGCCTTCCAATGGGAGCAGCAGTCACCCTGACCTCGACAGGACCCAACTGGAGCCTTCCAGATTGCTCGATATCCTCACCATGAAATCTTCATTTCCGGGCAGCTTCATCTCCATCCCGGAAATCCAAGCCCAGAACAAGGTGTTGAGGCACTGCGGTTTGCCCGACGATGAGTACCTTGTTCTCTTCACCCCGAGCTACAAAGACGCCATGATGTTGGTCGGAGAGAGCTACCCTTTCTACAGGGGGAACTTCTACATGTCGGTTCTCGGGGAGGACAACGATTGCGTCAGGGAATTCGCTGCGTACAAGGAATCCAAGCTGATATTGGCGCCAGAGACTTGGCTGGATTTAAGGATCAAAGGGTCGCAGCTCAGCCAATATTTCAGGAGAAAGTGTAAGCATAGCACAAAGGGGCTTTTCGCTTACCCGGCGGATGTGGAAGGGACTCGTTATTCGATGCATTGGATATCGGAAGCCCACCGGAATTCGTGGCATGTCCTGCTTGATGCTACCGCTGCTCTTGCTGCCGGAAAGGATAGATTGAACCTGGCACTTCACCGGCCGGATTTCGTGCTGTGTACTCCGGATAATGATCCGCAGACGCAGTCTTCGACCATCACTTGCCTTCTTGTGAGGAAGAAATCCTTCGACACCACATCAGCAACAACTACGGGTTTATCTTGAGCATAATGAGCTGCGAGAAATGAAGAGCGACGACTATGTAATGTGAATATATCTCAACTACTTTTTTTTCCTTTTCAAGCTGGGCTGTTATTAGACAACGTTGGAGCTTGCGCATTTGACCCAAGTATAGCTTTGGATTAGTGACGAAGATACGCATCAATTTATGAACTTGTAATGGAATCAAGTTACAGTAAGTAGAAGTTTGACTGCTACAGCTACAACTTAATCTTGAATTCTTGCTGGCCATTGCCACCGCAAAGTCCTGGTAAAGCGTATTTGAGGTCTATCATGACTTATCAAAGCTCAACTGTGAGCAAATGGTAGATACATAAGAGTATAGTGCACTATAATTAATTGTGCCCCTATAAGGACTGGTTCGTATCTTTCTTTCTTTTGGTAATTTGGTCTCCCACTTGTTTCTTCTGCAAATTTATTCCGAGTACACAATGAAGATTTAACTTTGACCACAGAAATGCATTGAATTAAAATTTTAAGAATGGGTGGTCAGGTCAAAACGTTCTCACAAAAGAGAGAGCTCTGAAAAATTCTGTACACCAGATTCTGCATTCCTCTCTTTCCTGCTCTCCAAGTTAAAAACCTATGGAAATCTATAGCCCGGTGGGAACTCGTTCGGCTGATTATAATCACTCGGAACAAACACAACCCCTGATGATGACCAACCACTGGCCCTCCGAAGAATATCGACTGCTCTGTGTACAAAAGCTCTGCTCCAGGTACTTGCGACGCACTGGCATTATTGGCAGAAGCGACGCCACCCACTCTTGGGGTCGACGAGGGCACAAATCGCCCAGCATCTGAATCCCAGTGACCTGTAGCTCTCATACTCTCCATCCCGACACCGCCACCACCCACGTTATTGTTCCTCCTCCCAGCAGCTGCCACTTGCGGCTGGACTCGACCCACATTGTGATTTACAGCCGTTGAGTGTGGAGACTGGCCAGCCGAGGACTGATACATTGGGTTGAAATGGTCTCTATTCTGCATTGGCGAGGTAGCCAGGTGTAACACATTGGCACTGCTCATGTTGCTGACACTGTGGCGGCATGACTCGATGTCCTCCCTGCTCGTCTGGCTCAGGTTGCTTGGGGCGTAATTAAGAAAGGTTGCTTTGGCCAGGTTGATCTACTGGGTTCATGGGGCTGCTCCTGACACTGAAGTTGCTGCCTGAGAGATGATCAGTGTCGTAAGGCTGGTGGCGAGGGGATTTGATTGGGCGGAGCACGGAGGAAGATGCTCGGGCTTTAGCAGCTGCCTCATTAGAGTCCAGCTTTGCGAGCTTCCATGGACTGATCCGCACTTGACGCGGTGGTAATCTCTTGCTGCCTTCTGGTAATGTGTCTGGGACTGGATCAACAGTTGAAGGTAGGCGTCCTGGCTCCAAATGTGGGATGATCTCATCCCAATAGATGGAAAGGAAAATGTCAAATTCCCCAATCATTCTAAGAGTATCACTCATGAGTCATGATTCATGCATAGGGTAAAAAAATACATAAACAATCACCGAACTTTGGAGTCACAAACAAATCGATTGCTGAATCAAAGTTCAGTGACTCATTTGTTAGTTACCTCAAACTTCGGTGACCATTTACGTAGAAACTGGCACCTCGGGAAAGAGTGAACTGAACACTTTTGAAGCTTAGCAATGGTATAGGTTTACCGGGTTGTCCATGAAGATTCTTGGAGGGGTACACCAAGCGCCTTTGTACTGCAACCCCATTCCAAGTGAGCTTCTTCCACTAATTGCTGTCACAGCGGAACTCGTCGGTGAAGATGGAAGACTTTGCTGCTCACCTCCTCCATCGACCGATGGTCCTGGTGGTTCACTTTGTGTTCTCATAGCAACAACATACTCGTATGTTGTGATACCCTGCGGAAGGACATGTTTAACACCCCTTGTTTTCACAGCAAATGGGGTCTGCTGATGCATAAACAAAGTACCTTTCTTATCAGAATCATGTGGAAGAAGAATAGCTCGCCCAGGGATATCGTGGCAAGGAAAGATACAACAGTGCAGAGTGCCTGCAAATTGAAAATTCATACGAACTGTCTCAAAATTGGTGCCATGTGACTTCATACATTTTGACTGAACGAACCACTACATTTCTCTTAACAGCCTATGCATATATCTTCTCTGTACTGGCATCCAGACTAGCAAACGAGTTCAAACATTTACCACTACCGCCGCGAATGGAGGGCAGGAAAATCCAATGCCGAGCTTTTCTGATATTTGATGGTCCATAGTTTTTCGATCGATAAAGAATCTAACAAGGACTGTAATCCCAACACCAAACTCAACACCAAGCTACAAAGCAAGGAGAGGTAGATCAGACAATTAACACTTCTTTCATACTTTAAAGTTGGAGGAGATATTGAACTCAGATGAATTAATCAGAAAGTTTGATGGCATCTAGCATTTACCCAAACAAGGTTGGTTGCCATGAGAGTAATAAAGGTGATGTAATTTTTCCTTCCTACACAGTTGTTCAACCACTGCACCATAGATGAACACAAACTTCTTTAGCAGACTGAACAAAACAAAAGAGAACAAAGCAGTAAATAATATTTAGGAGCAAAGGTTCAGAAAGGACGAACAAAAGTGTAGGAATTACATGACAATGGTGATCGAATCCATCGATACATTTATCACAACTTCTGCAATGCTTGCTGAACTTGCGAACCTGAGGAAAAGCTTTTGAAGTGTTATGATACAAATCCAGTAGAATGTTTCTGCACAAGCAACCTCATCTACAGGTAGGATAAAGTTCTCAAAGAAAACAAAACTCCTAAGTGTACAGAACATTTCATGATAACAGGCATGGATTATTAGAACCTCAATGTAGCAAAAGATATACCATCAATTAGTATAATTAATCGGCAAGCATACTTAAGGGGTCTGGGCAGATACTGGCGGGTCTACCCTAAGCTTGGTGCACCCCCACGCTAGCCCTTAAACCCGTTTCTTTCCCTTTCATTCTTTCCCTTTCATCCCCTTCGACGATTCCCTAAGAAGAACGCTTTCCCTCCGATGATTCGATGGCGGCCAGAGTGATGGAAATTAACATGCAAAGCTCGAATTGCCATTCTCACATTGAGATGCTTTCAAAAACCTAGATAGGAAACATGTAGAACCCAACTCCACTAACCTCCAACTCTGCAATTGCACTGGGAGTCCTTCTCTGATGCTCCAAAGTTGCATGCGAAGAAGAAGAGAACACACTGAGCTTAATTTGCCAATATCTGTTTTTTTTTTTTAATCTCCTTCATAGTGATCATTCGTGTGAGACTGATACCTCACTCGAATGGGGAGGTAGCCCTAGAAATAAAGGGGAAAATATTACTCAAAGTTTCACATTCTTCTTCCTCTCGTTATCTCTATCCAATGCATAAGAAGATCTTTGGGATAACTAAGAGAGAGCAACAAAAAGTAATGGGGTAACAGAGAAAAGGATAAGGGAAATCAAGAGGATGATGTTCATTTGCTGCATGGGATGAAGGTTACACGTGTAACTAAATAACCCAACTTTGCTTGCCCATTTATCACCTTTCTTCATTTTAGTTGCCTCCTTATTCACCTTCTTGCTTCCTTACTTACTTACTTAATTAATTGATAACCCCATATGTACAGAGTACAGACTACCCAATGATATATGGTACCGTCTTATATTCATGTTATCCACAGGGATGAGATTATATAATGGCTAATTATGAATAAGAGCCACGCAAGGCAAAAATTGCATGGGTTATAATGGCTAATTGTGGAGATTAGTAAAGCAGATGATAAATATCACAGTTTAAATTGATGGTATTAATGCTTAAAATTATAGTATTTAAATTGTATATGCACCATTCTCAACTAAAATTGTATGAACGAGTAAATAACAAATCTATGTGGTACAGACACTATCTAATTATGACATTTCCTTTTTGTTTTCGTGCTTCTTTTCACTATATATGAATTTAGAATTTGATAATATTTTATTCGTTCCAACTCATTCGAATTTGAAATGTATCAGAAAACTGAAAAAACACACATGACTATCATGTATATATGTATTGGAGTCTTAAAAAAAATATCATTGTTTAGCATTTGCGTAGAATATTTATAAACTAAGCATTTGATAATATTTTATTCGTTCCAACGCATTCGAATTTGAAATGTATGAGAGAAGTGACCAAAACGAATTAGGTTTATTCATTCTATAATTCAAAGTTCATTTTCCTACATTTCACATATGCATTACATCCAATCAAATTATTGCATAATTCATTATATTATAAATGATTTGGTCCTTCAATAATTTAGACCATAAGTATAAAAGGTTCATTTACAAAGCCAAATATTACAACATATAAAAAAATCTCAAAAATAAAATTGTACAAGATACCGAAGCAACGCTCGGGCCAATTATCTAGTAAGAAATAAAAGGCAAACCAGGTAGGAAGAAATCATTAATTCAACTATTCCAAACTGGTTCTATTATTCTTCTCTGATCGCCAAATTCCATTTCCAAGTACTTCATTTTTCCTCAACTCAACCCAAGCTCACCTTCAGCTCATGCCGTAAAAACACCATACTTCAGTATTGCATAATGTGCAGAACAAAGCTTCATCTCTAGAAACCATGTCTTCATCACTTCGACAGTCAGTTTGACCAGAAACCCACAGAAGAAACATCCGAGCATTGAGCAACATGTTGAACCATGTCCACCAGATGCTTCTCCATTACTTAATCCTACCTTGTTTGCTTCCTGAACTGAGGGTCCATTACCTAGGGAAGTAGATTACAATGTTCATAAGCAACTGAAATGAGATCTCAAACTAAATGGAAAAACCCGTATCTGGAAGTCAGAATCAAGATAAATCCTGTATTCACTACTTGTACAGTGCCAGAGAGAGCCAATGTTCCCAAGGAAACCAACCAGGAATATCAGTGCCATTCTGTGATTTATCTTATGCCGTCTCGGCAACTTGGAGATGAATTCCAGGATCAGAAGGGTCAATGGCAGTGCATCGCACGTAAAGAGTGAAGACAGATAGCGCATGAGAGCAAAACCAGCAAAGAATCAGACAAAATAAGCCAAAAAGCAACGACTAAATACAGTAGGAGAACAGAAGAACTGTGCTTTACTTACCAAAATAGAATAAACACCACTAGCTATATATTCATAGATGTCCTTCCCAAGGAAAGGCGCAAAGAGAGCGTAGTATGCAACCGCCAGCAAGAAGAAAACTGTTATAGCCACGATCTGCAGCACCAATGCACCGCCAAAAAGGAACACATTGTTGTCAGAACAATCCTTGTCAAGTTTGGATTAGCCGCAAAGCAAAAAGGACGCAAATCTAATGAGTTGAGCATTAAAGCCCAATCACGAAATCTCAAAAAGCCATTTTGACTTTGATCACACTCAAATCTCTTCCACTTTTCTTGACCACTGAAACAGAAAGATTGCAACTTTCAAACATGAAAGGGTTCCGCAATCCGCCGTCACAATCAAGTAAACATCAGTAAGACAAAGGGCGATAATTAATTGACTAAAAGGAAAAAAGAGGGGCGAACCCAGTACTCTACTAATATTCCAATCGGAGCCCAGATGCCATTCCAGTGTAACTCAAAATGGAGGAAACAGAAATTTTTTGAGTAACGAGCCAAATTTTAGCGATAGCGAATGGATAAAATTGTCCAAAAAATCAATGTACCTGAAAAGGGTGGACGGGGAGTTGCCATCCATGGCGCCTAGCCATGGCTATCAAAAATTGGAACCCAAAAATGGAATAATGAGACCCCTTTTGCAGGAACAAGGAAAGGGTGAACTCCTTTGTGCACTCAGAGGCAGGAAGTTGCCATCTCTGGGCCGATGAATGAGCAGACTCGAAAACTGTCGGTGAATCCCAGAAGGAAGTTCTCGTGCAGTCTTTCCAAGTCAAAATGGCGGAGTAAGCATACTCATTAAGACAATAATGACGAAGAATGTGGGATTGACAAAAAAAAACGGAGAGGGGAAGTTAAGTTTCGCTTTCTAGGGCTGGAAAGGAAGACGACCTGTTGGATTTCTCTGCTTGCACTGAGGAGGAAAAGGACCAGAACGAGAAATGGAGAAGCACTCGCAAGCAAAGCAAGTTCATTCCCCTCCTTTTCTCTTTCCTCGTTCAACAACTTCCTTTTTTGTTTCTCTTTTGCTTTCCTAAAAAATTCCACTAATTTTTTTTTGTCAAAATAAATTATAAAATCAATTGCAATCTGAAAATAAATTTGTTATCTTTAATTCAAAATATTTCGAATGGTATTATTTTTCGAATATCAATTTAATTTTTTTAGCAATTAATAATTAAATATGTATAACGAACAAGAGTTTGGCCTAATGGTAAGGCCACAAACTTTGAAGCTGGAGGTTCCAGGTTATCCTTTAAGTAGTACCTAAAACCAAAAAAAGTAAATATATATCATCCTTATAAAAGTAATTAATTATATGTATAATTAATTAAATGATGGTTAGAATAGTCTTTGTGATGAGAAGTTGAGGTGAGAAAATTCTAATAAAAACTAATCAAAGTCTTCATTGGGCATATTTATAACAGGTTTTCGTTTGGGGCTAAGAGACTAGACAAATGGTCTTGAGTTTGCCTAGAGCTGAGGCACGGATAAGGAGAAAAGAGGTAGATGATAATATCTCAATTTCTTGTCATTGGTAATCTTTTGATTTTATGGATTAGCGATTGAAAGGCGATTAATGAGAGTGTTCATTTTTTAGCGTTACGAAAATAACACGAGATTCAGTAAGACTGAAAGCGACGTGAAATCTAGAAAGCCAAACGTGGTTGCATGGGGCTTGCATGTTGTCAGATAGTGAGAAAGGAGCAAAAATCATGGATTATATTTAATGTATTATATATTTTGGTGTTTCTTGATATTTCGGTATAAATCAATCTCAACCACATAATCCCGAATAACGGATAACACTCCAAAATCAATTTCAAATTCAATCCCCGAAAGTAACTTGTTATTTGGTTGGGATTTGGGAATACCAAGCTTGCTCTAATCATAACCTTTTTAGACATTTACAACTGAAGAAATGCTGTGAATGTTTGGTTCGGGAAAGACAGTCCCACATGATTTAAGTCATAAGATACCAACAAACTATGTCAGTGGTGAGGTTAAAGTGATGATAAGTGGAGCAGGGGTCCCACGCTAATAATCTAAGTTAAAGGGCATAGTGTTAGAAATCGAACAGATAAATTAGGGTTACCGAATTTGGCTGAGTCGCGGACTAGGTCGCTTTCTTTAAGACGTTCGCGGCACTGCCTCGTAATGCGCACAACAGATTATCAGGCGGTCGCCTCCAGGATAAAACAACCACTCTTTCGATTTATGACTCGCTATGACACAACTCCTAACAATGGCCAAGTGTAACCAATGAAAGGGACTGCAGTATAGTGGCTCAAGTAATAAATATCGAATCCACGGGTCTCTAGAGTTACTATTACTCAGCTTCAGTTCATTATCTAGCAAAACAGATTAAGATGAAAGAACTAAAACTACTCTAGCAAACTACAGTTAAAGTTAATCTAATTACAGGTTGGGAACTCACTTAGGTATGATTCCCCCTAGCCACTAGCCAGATTAACGATTGATGATCTCTAACTTGTTTCACTGTCATTCACAATGCGGAGAATCCTTGACTAGACCTTGAGTCTCGACTAAAGGAACAAGGCCCTCTTGAGTCAATTGCCTAGAGGGACGTATCCTTCTCTAGAACAATCGATCAAGGCGTTCTGAACTAGACTCCCTCTATCGAATGAGGTTCTCAATCGATACAAAGCAGTGAATCAACCCTCGACTAAAGCAATCGATCCACTACTATCAATCTATGGTGCTCTATTGACCTAATCAGGTATTCGCTCTCATAGGATCAAAGCAGAATCAATAATCTCGACTAAAGCAGAATTGAATCGTGAAAACATGCATAGATTGAATATGAACTCAAGATTATCAAGTCAGAGTACTCATACAATCATCCAATCAAACAAACATGGCTAGGGTTCCTCAAAACCTAAGTGAAGGGAAGTTACTCCATAGAGAAGAGAGAGACTGCAGTAAGAATCTTCAGATGATCAGTCTTCAAGTCCGGGCTTGTTCCTCGAGCTTCCAAGGCGAAGAAATCCTCCAATTCCACTCCAAGAATGCCCTCAAATCGCTCTCTCTCTCTTTGGTTCGTCCCTAGGGTGTTTGGGATCCAAAACCCAGCTCTCCCTCTCCAAAAATCGCAAAACAGCTTTTATACCCGCTGAAACTCGCACCCCCTACTTGCACGGCCGTGCAAATTGAGGTTTTGGCCGTGCAGACCCCTTGGGAAACCCGCACGGCCGTGCAGAATTTCACACGGCCGTGCACAATTTCCAGCATGCACTCCTAAGCTTCGTTGATCTCGTTTGAGCTCGTTTGACCTCCGATTCAGTCGCCGTTTGATCCCAGACGCTCGTAGTCTCGTCCTCTTTCTTTTCATAACAAGCTTGCATGATTCTTTGTCCATAAAGTGAGGTAGAAATTCATTCTTCTTCAGGTCATGGCCGAGTTTCTTCTCCCGAATCGTCAATTGATCTCTGATTGACTTGAAACTTGCGCCTATACTTCACTTTATGTGCTAGGACCTGAAATGTGAGAAAGGAACACAACCTAGCATAAAATAGGCCAAAGACACGATAATTCAAGCTCAAACAATCAAGAAACAAAGGGGAAAACATGTGCAAATACCGAGTCATCAATTTGCTCAGCGGTTTTGTGCGAAACCGGAGCACTATGAACTCACTCTCTTTCTCGTGTTTCTGCTCCCTGAGGTGTGTTTAGAGGATCTGGGGGGTATGCTATTTATAGGAGCCGAAAACCCATAATATTCCCTCTTTCTTTGGGAATAAGTCACATTTTAATTAGGGAGACAATTACTCCCATAATTAAAATATAATCTATTAAGATAATTAATCCTAATTATCTCCATAATATTCATTTTATTAATTATCCATCTTATTTATGTATTATGGGATAATACTGGATAATTAATTAGGAATTTCATTTATAGCTTTTCAAAGCTATTCATCCCAACAATTCCCCACTTGAATAGTTTTGAAACTATCTTGAGCATCAACAGTTCCATAAGATCGGGCATAAGCTAAGGTATCGCGAAGATTTGAACCTTAGCGTAGTGGTTACACTTCCGATTTCATAAGGGTGACTCGTAGTATTGAACCCTATCTCAGACAATGTAGCACACCGGATCTTTTCATTGAGTGATATTCTCTCATAGGCCATGCGTTTATGGCCATGCACGTTATCCCGGTTTAGTGAGAGCTCTAGCAACTTTGTGCCTCCAAAGTTCCATAGGGAGCGGTCCCACTCCCACATTCACATAGGTGAGTCTATCAAGAGTACCCCCAAAGTAAAGTACTCCGCCCCACATAGGGTATAGATCTCATTAAGAGTTGTTAACTCAACCTCCATTGCTTTGGGATTCATGCTTCACCATGCATGAAATTTTCGCATACTACTCATGACTTGTTATTACCCATTGAGCCCATTCCTTGGGATCTCCAGTCTATTGGGTCGGGTTACCATCACTTACCCATGGTGGTATTTTGGACTTTCTCTCTAGATAATCCTTTCGTCAAAGGATCAGCTAGATTCTGTTAGGACCTTACAGGAT